CCCCATTACCCTGTCATACATGTGCAGGTGTATGCACACAAACACGCACGCTCCCCTCCACCCCCCGCCATCCTCCTGTCCTAGAATCTGACTCCTGGCTATCTAATTAAGAAACAGTGTGGCTCGGGACTTCAGAACCAGAACCACACTCTCAGAAACCTCGGATGTAGACTCCTCTCCCCTGACCTCTTCATTTGGGGACCTTTTGCCCCTGAAGTTGTCACAGCTGACCCCAATCCATGCAGGTTGTGGAGAGCCAGCCTGTTTAGGTAGTCTTGTGGTCAGCTTTCTCAGGCCATGCTAGGCCTGCCAAGCTAGCAAGGAAGGGCTGGCAGTTCTGGGCCCCAAGGCTCAGAGCTGGAGTGGGAGGACGGCCAGCCACCGATGAGCGTCCTGCTTGTCAGCATGGAAGGCAAGGGCGAGACTGAGTCAGCCTACCTCATTTGACTCCAGCCAATGGAGACAACCCTGACCCCTGCTGCGATGGTATCAACTCCACAGGAATCAAGGATCTTGGTGCCAAGCGTGGCATCTCTACCTGAAGAGCTGCTTCAACTAGACCAAGGGGCCCAGGCCTCTATTTCAAGGGGGGAGGGCATCTGAAATGAGCAGTCTGGCACACGGTGAGGTGCTGGCATGGCTCTATCTCCCAACCCCACCCCAAAGCCCACACCCCTCTCTTACCTCCACTGTACCCTGCACCCCCAGTTCCTACATAGTGTGTGACTGCTGTGGTTGGATCACCCCCTATCCCCTGGACCTGCCTTCTTTGTAGAGCAAAACCCCAGGCTCAGAGCACTGCAATGATCACTCTTGCAATAAGAGTGAGTTCTCATAGGTGTGTGTGCTTATACTCACCCTCTGAATTGCTGCTGCCACCGAAAGAGTGAACTCCAGTGAAGGCCAGCACTGTATCCCTCTGGCTGGGCCTCTGAGTAGTTTTATTTCTCCAAAAATGAGCCAGTTTCCTGGCCTAGCTCAGGTCACTAACACATTTGGCATTGCTGGAGCCAGAGTAGAGCCTACCGTAGAGTCGAATTTCCTTGTGTTCCAGCCAGGGAAAGGCCCAGAGAGGGGAAGTGACTTGCCGAAGGTCACACAGTTAGTTCATGGCTGAACTGAGACCAAGATTAAGCTTCAAGACTGTTCACCATAGAAAGGGTTCTGGTGACAGGTTCAAGTGAGAGAACCTCTCTAAATCCTATGCCCCTATTCCTTCCAATTCCCCATCTCCCATGTGTTCTAGACAAACTACTAGATGTTGCCCTTAAACCATTTCCAGCTGTTAATTCTGTCCAGGAAAGAATGATTGGGTGACACGAGAAATTGAAAGGTGAGCTGTGGGATTTTTAGCAGATGCCTTCTTTCTTCTTCCTCTCTCCTCCCCTTGTCATTTCTCTCCTCTGATGGTATGGCCAACCTCATTCTCCCTCCCAGTGCTATACCCATTCTCCCCTGTTAACCACATTTATGATCTACCCTTTTATGTGATTTCTATTTTTCATTCGATTTATCAATAAACAGATCAAAATGGAGCCTATGTCCAGTTCTTTTCACGTTTGATTGCGGGAGTGAGGAGGGTGGAGGGCAGCCATGGGGTATGGCTGCTGCGTGTTTCCCAGGCCAACTTGCAGATTTGCAGACCTGGATGGCAGCTTTTCAAGTTCACCGGACCCAAGCTCTTATTTTACAGATGAGGAGACCAGCAACCAGGTAGTGATCTGAAGACCCCATGGCTGGTTCATGGTGGGGCTGAAAGGAGAGCCCGGGCTATGGCTTCCATGCTAGCGCCCTTTTTCCAATTTATGTGTTGAAAATGGGCAGGCTGGGCAGGTAAATGAAGGCTGGCGTAAGAGCGTGGTATCAGTGCTGAACCAGCTTAGTTGTATTGGAAAGAAGCTAAAACTAGGTTTGAATACTGACTCTATCACTGCTACTTATGTGGCCTGTTTTCTCTCCCCATCTAACAAATGCAGGGTAAGAATTCCTAAATTATGAATGGTGCAAGGACTGTATGACATAATCTGTGCAAAGAGGCTACTGAGGTGCCAGGTATGGAATAAGCATTCGTCACTGTTATGAATTGCGTATTTGTGTTCCCCAAAATTCATATGTTGAAACCTTAACCCTTAGTGGGATGGCTTTTGGTAGTTAATTAGGTTCAGATAAGGTCACGAGAATGGAGCCCATGATGGGATTATTGTCCTTATCAGAAGAGAAAGAAAGTAGAGCTTGCTCTCACGATCTACCTCGTGAGGATACAATGAGAAGATGGTCATCTGCAAGTGGGAAGTGGGATCTCGGCAGACATTTGATTTACTGGCAACTCGAGCTTAAATATTCCGCCTCCAGAACTGTGAGAAATAAATTTCTGTTATCTTAGTCCTCCAGTCTGGAGTCTTTGTTATAGCAGCCTGAACTAAGAAGATCACATGCTAGCTAACATTTCTCTCCTTTCTGTCTCTGGAACTCTTGCTGTTACTGCCCCTCAGGCTCAGAGACCTTCCTAACCCTGACCAACTTTCTTGACTCAGGCCTTTGCTTCTTGCTGCCTTTCTCACCGCCCAAACTTTTGTTCAGCACTGGCAGGGGTATGGAGTGGAAGGAAGGATCTGTCCTTCCTGAGAACTCCCTAGCTCTTATGTACACTACCATTCAATATGATAGAACACCTACTGCAGGCGTCCCCAGCTCCTGGGCCGCAGACCAGTACCAGTCCATGGCCTGTTAGGAACTGGGCTGCACAGTGGGAGGTGAGCAGCAGGCGAGCAAGAGAAGCTTCCTCTGTATTTGCAGCTGCTCCCCAGTACTAGCATCACCGCCTCACCTCCACCGCAGATGATCAGGCATTAGACTCTCATAGGAGCACCAGTTTCTGGTGCCAAAAAAGTTGGGGACCACTGACTGTGCCAGGCCCTGACTAAGTGTAGGGTAGATAGCAGACATCTTGAGTGACATGGGTCTCCACCCCTTTGGAACCGACAGTCAGGTGAGGGA